GATATCCATAGCGGTTACAGTAAAGTTTGCCATACCTTTCCAAGTTCCCAATTTGACACCAACTCCATTAGCTACCCCACAAGCATTCTATACCTCGGCATTCACGGTCTTGACGCGAGAGTTGGTTGGAGCAAGCTTCAATTCTAGTCTCTTTGCGGCAGCTTCAGTCACGAAATTATGAGTTGCTCCGGTATCCACCATTGCATGAGCGGGCTTGTTGTTGATGGTGAGATCCACGTACTGATTGCCATTCTTGGTAGGTTGGATAGCTTGCTTCGTGACAGCACCACATAATCCGATCATACCCAACTGTGCGGTTCCTGGACTCTCTCCTTGTGGCTGCTCCTTCCGTCCACGGACCATGGCACTGAGGCTCTTGAGGTTAGGACAATTCCTAAAGTTGTGTGGCCCTCCACATATATAGCATCCCTTCTTCTCGGCCTGCGCCTTCTTCTCGGTGTAGCCCTGACGACCACTCGACTTTTTGGAATCTTGAGTCTTCGAGTATTGTTGTTGTATCTCCTTGCCTTTGCCACGGTCTCCCCCACTTTTGACATAGCTAACCTTTAACTCCTTGCCTTTGCCTTTGTCATGCCTGAAATCCATCAATGATTCAGCCTCCACTATGGCTTGGTCTATATCCGCGACTTGCCGACGTTGTAACTCCTGTTTAGCCCAATTTTGCAACCTGTCCATGAAGTGGAACAACAAGTCATCATTGGTCAGGTTGGGAATTTGAAGCATAAGGGTAGTGAACTGCTTGACATAGTCACGTATGCTCCCTGTTTGCTTCAACTCCCTGAGCTTGCGCCTTGCCTCGTACAAGACATTGTTTGGAAATAACTGTCGCTTGAACTCGACTTTGAACTGATCCCACGTGCTAATAGTACATAGACCTTTATCCACGTCGGCCATCTTCCTTCTCCACCATAGCATGGCATTCTCTAAGAGGTACAACACGGTAGTGTTGATCGTGGCCTCGTCGTCCCTCACTTTTCCGTGCTTGAAGTAGTTCTCCAAGTGCCAAATGAAGTTTTCCACTTCTTGTGCATCACGAACACCTTTGAACACCGGGGGTTTGGGAGCCTCGATCTTGGCCTCCCTCGTCACTACAACATTGCTAGCTGCCTCGGTCACGCCAGCATTGACATGCTCCTCGAGTGACTCTATCTTTGTTTCATAGCATCGATAGTACTCAAAGCCTCCATGAGTCTGCACTCTAAGGCAGTGATGGTTTGCCTTAGTTCCATCTCGGTCTGTGTACGTCCCTCCAAGTCATTTCGGATACTCTCAATCTCTTCAAGAGTGTGCCCCTCAAGAACGCTAAGGGTGCCTTCCATCCTCCCCAAGCGTTGGCCAAAGATCTCCACGGCGTCCATCTCCGCGTTCATCTTCATCACCCACTCTTTGCCGAGCAAGACGTCCTCAGGCAGGACCTCTACTTCATCCTCGCTCGCCTCAGTGGCAGATGGTTCTTGGGATGTAAGCCCTTCATTTGACACAACCTTGGTTGGCACCTCCTGGCTCTTGTTGGTGGCATTCCTCTTTTTGTTACGGCCGCTCTTGCCAGTAGCATCCTGGATGATGTTGGCTTGGGTGTTGGCAACGTTACTTTCATCCTGGTATCCGAGCAAAGGTTGCAACTAAGGGAATGGCGAACGACGGAGAAATTAACGTTGCCAACACACAAGCCAACGTCATCCAGGATGCTGGCAAGAGCGGCCGTAACAAAAAGAGGAATGCCACCAACAAGAGCTAGGAGGTGCCAACCGAGGTTGTGTCAAACGAAGGGCTTACATCCCAAGAACCATCTGCCACTAAGGCGAGCGAGGATGAAGTGGAGGTCTTGCCTGAGGACGTCTCGCTCGGCAAAGAGTGGGTGATGAAGATGAAGGCAGAGATGGACGCCGTGGAGATCTTTGGCCAACGCTGGGGGAGGATGGAAGGCACCCTTAGCGCTCTTGAGGGGCACACTCTTGAAGAGATTGAGAGTATCCGAAATGACTTGGAGGGAGGTACACAGACCGAGATGGAACTAAGGCAAACCATCACTGCCTTAGAGTGCAGACTCATGGAGGCCTTGAGTACTATCGATGCTATGAAGGCAAAGATAGAGTCACTCGAGGAGCATGTCAATGCTGGCGTGACCGAGGCAGCTAGCAATGTTGTAGTGACGAGGGAGGCCAAGATCGAGGCTCCCAAACCCCCGGAGTTAAAGGTTAGCTATGTCAAAAGTGGGGGAGACCGTGGCAAGGAGATACAACAACAATACTCGAAGACTCTAGATTCCAAAAAGTCAGAGTGGCCGTTAGGGCTACGCCGAGAAGAAGGCGCAGGCCGAGAAGAAGGGATGCTATATATACGAAGGGCCACACGACTTTAGGAATTGTCCTAACCTCAAGAGCCTCAGTGCCATGGTCCGTGGACGGAAGGAGCAGCCACAAGGAGAGAGTCCGGGAACCGCACAGTTAGGTATGATCGGATTATGTGGTGCTGTCACGAAGAAAGCTATCCAACCTACCGAGAATGGCAATCAGTACGTGGATCTCACCATCAGCAACAAGCCCGCTCGTGCAATGGTGGATACTGGAGCAACTCATAATTTCGTGACTTAGGATGCCGCAAAGAGACTAGAATTGAAGCTTGCTCTAACCAACTCTCGCGTCAAGACCGTGAATGCCGAGGTATAGAATGCTCGTGCAGTAGCTAATGGAGTTGGTGTCAAATTGGGAACTTGGAAAGGTATGGCAAACTTTACCGTAACCGCTATGGATATCTTTGACATCATACTGGGGCAAGAGTTCTTTAGACATTGTCATACTTTGATCGACCCCTACCTCCAACGTCTCTTGGTTATGGAGCGAGAAGGAGCTTGCATGGTACCTACAGTAACTATGCCACACTGACAGATCCAAGCACAACTCTCAGCTATGCAGGTTGTCAAGGGGATCAAGAAGGGGGAGCCGACGTTCGTGGCAACCATTGCAAGTCTAGAGGAAGACAAGAATTTTCAAGAGATAGTGCCGCCTTGCATAGAGAAGTTGCTTGAGGAAAACAAAGATGTCATGCCCGAGGAGTTGCCTAAGAACTTGCCACCTAGGCGAGAGGTGGATCACAAGATTGAGTTGGAGCCAGGGGCTAAGCCACCCGCATTTGCCCCATATCTTATGGCACCGCCCGAGCTAGAGGAGCTCAGGAAACAATTGAAAGGGCGGCTAGATGCTGGTCACATTCGCCCATCAAAGGCACCTTTTGGCGCACCAGTATTGTTCCAGAAGAAGAAGGATGGATCGTTGCGTTTGTGCATAGACTACCGAGCACTTAATAAGGTCACAATGAAGAATAAGTACCCGATCCCGCTCATTGCTGACTTGTTCGATAGACTTGGGCAAGGCAAGTACTTTACCAAGGTGGATCTTCGAAAAGGCTACTACCAGGTTCGCATTGCGGAAGGGGATGAGCCAAAGATAGCATGTGTGACGAGATATGGAGCCTTTGAGTGGTTGGTGATGCCCTTCGGCTTAACCAATGCACCGGCCACGTTTTGCGCCCTTATGAACAAGATTTTCCATCCCTACCTTGATCAGTTCGTGGTAGTCTACCTAGACGACATAGTCATCTACAGCAACACCTTGGAGGAGCACATGGAGCACTTAAGGAAGGTTTTCCAAGTCTTGCGTGAGAACGAGCTACACATCAAGAGGGAGAAATGTGAGTTTGCACAATCAAAGGTGCACTTCTTGGGCCATGTCATTAGCAATGGCGAGCTACGCATGGACGAGGCTAAGGTACGTGCTATCCAGGAGTGGGAGGCACCTACAAAGGTAACTGAGTTGAGATCCTTCCTTGGCCTTGTTAACTACTATCGTCGGTTCATTAGTGGCTACTCAGCCAAGGCCGCACCATTGACTGAGTTGCTAAAGAAGAACAAGCCATGGGTTTGGACGGAGCATTGTCAAAAGGCATTTGAAGGCCTTAAGGCAGCTGCAATAGAGGAGCCCGTCTTGGCGTTACCTGACTTTGCCAAGACATTTGAGGTGCACACAGGTGCCTCAGACTTCGCCATTGGGGGTGTCCTGATGCAGGATAAGCATCTTATAGCGTTTGAGAGCCGCAAGTTAAATGTGATGGAGCGGCGTTACACAGTGCAAGAGAAGGAAATGACTGCCATTGTGCATTGCCTTCATACATGGCAACATTATCTGCTCGGGTCAAGGTTCGTGGTCAAGACCGACAATGTGGCTACTAGCTACTTTCAGACAATGTGACTTATTTACACAAGTCCTTAATATTTACAAGATAAGGGCTTTCTCTAGAATTCTCTACAAGCTTAGAAGATTCCAAGTACTTTCCTAGCAAATCCATAAGTTTCTAGGTTCTTCCTAAGGAAATGTCCATACTTCTCTAGAATCTTCTCACAAGTGCTAGCCTTCTTCTTATGTAAGCTTCCACATGGCATTAATATATGCAAATGGCGCCTATGTGGCATGATGGCGTGGCGGGTCATCACATAGGACAGTATAAAATAAAACAAATTAAAGTTATAACTCAATCTATTTGAGTTGAAACATGAAAATTCTTACTTCTGCTCAAGCACATTGTGAAGCCTAGGTTTAGCCTCTTTCTCCACCTTGACACTAAATAGTTGAGAGAAGGTATTCGTTTTTTCGCTAACCTCTTTGTTGATTCCAATTTTAATGTGTTTCTCTTTTTGGTTGTCATGGTATTCTTTCTAACTAAAGTTAAGTCACCAAAGTAATGGAAAAGGAGGAATAGTGGATTTATGGGTTTATTTCCACTTGTTGCTATAATTAAATGACAATTTATTGGCACTGTATCAATCCTGAGCCGAGGGTCTATTGGAAACAGCCTCTCTATCTCCACAAGGTAGGGGTAAGGTCTGCGTACACACTACCCTCCCCAGACCCCACTATGTGGGATTTCACTGGGTATGTTGTTGTTGTTGTTGTATCAATTCTGATTTGTCCATATCTTTGCAGCTGAGAAAGCCTTCTCATCCTAGCTGTAGCGTTCCTGCTGCAATCAATTGCCTTGCAACTCTGTTGAAGGAACCTATTGTTCGATCTTCATTTGTTCAAGCTGACGGAGTGAAGCTGCTTGTTCCTTTAATTACACCAGCATCTACTCAGCAGTCCATTCAGGTGCATCTTTACACTAAATCTGCCACATGTTAGACCTACTTCCAAATTCTGTAATTTGTTATCGAAGCGCTGGGAAATGACTGTTGATATGGTTATCATTTCATTCCATGTATTTGACTCACTTTTCTTCTTTGAAACAGCTTCTCTATGAGACATGTCTATGTGTCTGGCTTTTGTCTTACTATGAACCTGCAATCGAGTACTTGGCTACTTCTAGGGCCCTACCTCGATTGGCAGAAGTTGTTAAAGGTTCGACAAAGGAGAAGGTGAGCTATTTTTGCTGCTATTGGTTCTAATATTTTTTCTACTTGCTCTATGCCTATGTCTTAAACTGAATGTAGTGGGTCTACTTTGGGCATGCCAAGAAAGAACTTCGGTAAGATAGAATATTTGGCTATACATTCAAAAGTTTGAGCAGTCCTATACTTCCTAACTTGAAGTTATGTATACCTATCGAGTGGTTTTGAGGGGTGGAAGCAGCATCAAAAGAGATGCTTGCCCTATTCCAGAATACACCTACGTGTATATATGATTGATTTCCCTCGCGTTCCTCATTCACTTTTTTGAGTTCTTTTTTTCAATCATGCTTACATAACTATAACAATCAAGAATGAGATACACCAGTTAATAACTAGTTATATTTATGCATGCATGATAGTAAACTAGTAACATGATTAATTACTGTCGACGTAATAGATGCTTTGGTTCATTGTTTTCTTGCATTCGATGTCTCAACTACTACAGGTAGTCAGGGTTGTCATCTTGACTCTTAGGAATTTGCTTTCCAAAGGAACATTTGGTGCTCAGATGGTAGACGTTGGAGTGCTGCAAATTGTACAGAACTTGAAAGCACAGGCTTGGAGCGATGAGGTGATACAACCAATTTACGGTTTTCAATTTGATATAGTATCTTTATTATTTTATCTATATAAGAATCAACTACTAAAAAGTTCTGACAAAGTTGATATCAGATAAACTGGACGCCTGTGCTCGTTGTATGGAGAGACAGTCACTAAATATTTACTGTGTCTCCTTATTTCCTTAATAGACAGTACTTAATCATGTTATGTTTATTTATAATCTCGCTAGGACCTTTTGGATGCTCTGAATCAACTTGAAGAAGGTTTGAAGGACAACATCAAAACATTGAGTTCATACGACAAGTACAAGCAGGAAGTTCTACTTGGCAATCTTGATTGGTCCCCTATGCATAAAGATCCTCTATTCTGGAAGGAAAATATAAATAATTTCGAGGAGAATGGATTTCAGGTAATGCCTGTGGTTTTTTACATTCTTTCATAGCTTAAATGCTATAAAATACTGTTACTGTGCCTTCTCTTTAAGAAAATAACAATCTTGTAGGTTGATTCACTGCCCAACCAAACTTGTTAACCTGAATTTATTCGTCTTCGACTTTCTGCTGGTTTTGACTTAGTTTATCTGCTACTTGAACTCAAAAGCTTTACTCGTGTCTAAATAGTCATCGCTAGCAGTAGTACTCCCTCCATTTTATTTATAAGGCGGTGTTTGATGGGCATGAAGTTTAAGATAGACAGACTTTTGACACATACCAAAAGTACCCTTAGAACTTGTGGTTTTAACATGTCATGACATTTCTATGCTTTTAAGAGCATGTTATAAGGGTAAAATGAAAATTATAAAAGTTAAAGAGTTTCCAAATATAGATAGTACCATTCTTTTTGGAACAGACTAAAGAGAAAAGAGTATCATATAAATTGAAACATAGACACTAATAGTCAGTCCGAACCGAGGGTCTATTGGAAACAACCTCTCTACCTTCACTAGGTAGGGGTAAGGTCTGCATACACACTACTCTCCCCCAGACTCCACCTGTTCGGAATATATTGGGTCTGTTGTTGTTGTTTTTCTACAGTAATAGTCAGTTAGTGTGGTGGTGATCTTAGTAGCTTTGTTGTTGTTGTTGTTGTCGTCCCTTATTATTGTTTTGAACATACAAATAACAAATCAATCCGACAACTTCTGTTCTAGTATTAAGAGTGATTATCGTCTCAGCTTGTCTTGTGTTGCAGATATTGAGAGTGCTTATGACAATTTTGGATACATCAAGTGATGCAAGGACACTTGCTGTCGCTTGCTACGATTTGTCTCAGTTCATTCAATGCCATCCTGCCGGGCGAATCATAGTGGCCGACCTCAAAGCTAAGGAACGCGTAATGAAACTATTGAATCATGAAGCTGCAGAGGTCACGAAAAATGCATTGCTTTGCATCCAGAGGCTTTTCTTAGGTGCCAAATATGCCAGCTTTTTGCAGGCTTAAATTATCTTCAATTGGCTTCATTCTTCAGACAAAACTATACATATCTTGTTATTTTCTTAGGTCATGTTCTATTTATTCATTTTATCTTATTGTTTAATGGGATTGGGTCTCTATCTTTTCAAGGTAGGGGTAAGGTTTGCGTACTTACTATCTTCCCCACACTGAGTTTGTTGTTATTCTTTAATGTGATTGGAGCGACATTGACGGTGAGGATTCATATAGCCGATCTCAGCTTGTTTTGAGACTGTAACGTGCTTATTGTTTTGATGAGATTCTCACTCGGAATAATTCCTTATTCTATCCAATAAATCAATTTTTTCGTACCATTTATTCAAGGGGTGTGGTTCAGCATCGCTTGCAAAATAGTTTCTTCACATATATGCATATCTAAATACTACAATATTTTTCTAATAAATAATGTGTGTTTATTAATATGTCGACATCACCTGAAAATAATACAGAACAGATATTAATTTAGGACAGAACAGATATTAATTTAGGACGAGTAAAACCTTAAATTAAACCACCATACATCCAAGTCCAAAACTTACCAGATAATTATATCAGTAGATCGATATTCTTTCTGCAAAATTCTACGTACGCCACTTGAAATTCCAACAACCCCATATACATACCAAGCTAACAGGAAAAAAACATGCCAAAATTGTACAAAGATATATTTTTGGACAAATAAACTTTCACTATCTCAAGTAAATAATTTCTTCTTGACCATTCAGCGCAAAATACATCCAAATCTGGCATAAACAGCTAGATGAGGTAACTGATCTAAAAAGGACACGTGGCATTCTATGAGCCACTTACAGCTCAATGACATAAAGTACAACGTTGGAAGCTTTTGATGACAGTACACCGTATCTCTAAGCGATTTTATTTGAAGTTTTATTACATAGAAAAAATGGGGACGGCGATAATGAAAATTGAACTGACACCTCAACAACAACATATATAACCAATAAAATTCTACTAGGGGGTCTGAAAAAATAGAACGGGCACCTATTGTATGAAAAACTCTCACCGATATTACTAAACTGTAAGACTTAAAAATTGAGATATTGTCTTGAGTTTAACTTTATACACTTACAATTTAAAAGAACTTTTATATTATCAAGTTCCTAAAATATAACTATACTTCACCATCCATAAAAATAGGGTTAGTAATGATATAACTTATGGAGAAGCACACCCCAAATACTAGCTATTAAGGAGGGAGAGTCTAAGACAATATAAACTTCACACGATGTGAATCACACCGGCACATTGCGATACCGATATGGGACTCAAGTTCATAGTGGACCATAACAAACCACCACGCTCTGCATCAATAGTCCTCTAGGTTGTGTGTTAGACCTTTCTAGCCCCCGACGAACACTGTAATACTGGTGTCACCATCCATGGCAAGAAGGGTGGTGGTGGGTCTAATACCATTGATAAAACCAAGGAGAACCACAATATCCCAAAAGCTACCTATTAAGGTGGGAGAGACCAAGGCTATATAACCCCACATCAGTATATTGTAATATATACCGATATAGGACTCAAATCCGTACCTTGCGATCATAGGCGAAACCAGGATTTGAAGGTTGCAGGTGCACTTTTTGATTCAACCAAAATCTACTTTGTATATAGGTGCCCTCTACTAATATATTACTATTTTCTAAGAACATATACATGTATACATCGAATTTTTGCTGAACTTTACGGGTGTCGGTGACCTCTCTCGGTAAAGCATAGGTCCGCCCCTGCTTGCGATGGACCATAACAAGTAACTTGAAAATAAAGTAAGTTACTTACTTCAATTACTGGTTAAAATATTGTACTATCAGTGTATATTTGGTCCTATCATTGAGGTTATATCTTGAAGTAGATGATTTAGGAGGGAAATATCTCTATCCATACAATTAATACCAACATGAGTAAACACCAACACTAACTGCTAAAAATGATTTTAAACATTATGATTAAGACTAGTGAATCAATTTAAGCCTTGGCAATGCATGGCTAGAGCTTCATAATCTCATAATCCAGACCCCTATAAATTTCATACCATATAATATCTTTCTTATAAATGTCATTGACAAACCAATCTCCTCAAACACCAGTTTCATTCATCTAACTTCTTCAATCCAAAAATGGCGAATGCTCGTATTGCAAAGTTTGTTACTGAAGCAGCACCACCACAGTTTGTAAATGTAATGAGAAATCGAGCATCGAAGATGTTAGAGACGATCAAAGAAGATGATAGAGAAGCAGCTAGCTCGAACGAGTCATCAATTTCTTCGAATTATTCGAGTTCATCTTCAAAATCTATGAATTCTAAGTATTTTCTTAAAAAAGTTCAAAGGTCTTTTCCTTTATTTGGAACTAAAGCCTCTTCTTAGTTAGGCTCTCTTTATTAATATTCAGGGTTTAGGGTTCAGAGTTTAGGGTCTTTATATTAATGTTTATCCGATGTCCGCAGAACTTGAGTAGAGTGACTAGAGTCCAAGATTTGCTGAGACTAGATAAATGTTGATGAAATGTAACTAAAGAGAAAAGTGAAATCAGTCCATATGAGTACTGGTTAAGTTTGTACGGTAGTTTTATAATGGATCGTATAGTACAAAAATAACATAACCTATATGATCCCATGGGTGAAGTGTGGAAAGGATAGGGTGTACGCATACCTTACCCTTATCTTGTGTGAGATAGAAAAGTCGTTTCCGATAATATGTTGTATCGTATATATATATTATCCATCCAAAATCAGTCATAGTGAAGCAAGATATTAAAAGTTATTTTTCATTATTATCAGTCTCTCTTTCAATAATATTTGGTTGAAGTTCAAACAATGATAGAGTATTTGAAGTTGAAGTAGAAACAAACGAGTATTTAAATGTTGAGTTGTATTTGAGTATAAATTTTCACTATGGAGAGTATTTTTGACCTTAGCTATGTTATTAATAACATAGCTAGTGTAATCCTACAGATGGAGTCTGGGGAGGGCAGAGTGTACGCAGATCTTGCCCCTACCCAGGGGCGGATCTAGAGTGTAATATATGGGTTCCCGGGAACCCAGTAACTTTTGCGTAGACCCTGTATTTTTGTTAAAAAATTTATTAAATATCTATTTGTGAACCCAGTTATTATTGTATATTAATTTGAAATTGTGACAGGAACCCATATACTTAAAATCCTGGATCCGCCTCTACCCCTACCTACCTTGTGTGAGATAGAGAGGTTGTTTCCGATAATATATTGTGTCGTATATTATCCATCCAAAATCGGTCATAGTGAAGCAAGATATCAAAAGTTATTTTTCATTATTATTATTAGGCTCTCTTTGCACAATATTTGGTTGAAGTTCAAAAAACGATAGAGTATTTGAAGTTGAAGTAAAAAAGACGAGTATTTAAATTTGAGTTGTGTTTGAATATAAATTTCCACTACGAAGAGTATTTTTAACCTTAGTCAAAAGTACATGAATAAATTCAGACTTTTTTCGAAGTATTTTAACACGTGTCAAGATTTTGATCGAGTTCAAAGCTCACAGTTCAGTTAGAGCTTCATTACGTAAACGAGGTAAAATTAAATTTTTTTTGTATAGTAAAGGGGTGAATTTGTAAAGGAAAAAATAAATTGTCCTCACTTAGTGTAAGTCACAATTTGATGCAAACACTAGATGCGGAAAACCTTTGGGTTGCCTAAACAAACACTTGAATCTAGGAATACATTTTTTGAAATATAAATAAAAAAAACAGTCATAAAATAAAAAGAATTTTTTTGATCTGAAAAATCTCATTAGAGGAAAGAAAAATTGATTTCTTTTACTCTTCTTCCCTATCTGATTATCTTCCTCTAGTGGGGTTTTTCTATTTTCTTTTATATCCTTTATCAACATTCACATATCCTTGAATCCTGTTATGTTTTTTTTTTTTTTTAAAAGAAAGAAAGTAAATCTATCATTCCTTGAAAGAATATACATATGAACGTTTCTTCAAGGGAATATTCTCACTTATTTTCTTTGAACACTTTGGTAATTTTGTATTTGATATAAATGTTTATTATTTTAGGCATTTCTTGTTGGATAGTAGTAAGTTGATCAAAATCCAAACATGGATTTATTATGATCATGATAAATATTGAATCTTTTAGCATTAACTGCAATTAGATCCATTTTTTGAAGCCTATATTCATATTACTAGTATCAATTATCAATCATTTTTGTTTGGTATAATTTCTTAAATGATTCTCTTATTATAGACACAAGCAAGATTATTGTTACATTTTTTTTATTGTTGTTACTGCTTGTTGATACTGCTCATTTTGGTTTTGTCCTTGAGCCGAGTGTCCTCGGAAACAGTCTCTCTACCTTCACAGGGTAGGGGTAAGATCTGCATACATATTACCCTCCCCGGATCCCATTTGTGGGACGATACTGAGTATGTTGTTGTTGTATGTTTGATGTTTGAAATCGGCATGGCAATGTCCAAAATCGACGTTGAATCGTTACAAGAAACACTTAATATTCAAGAACAACTTATAGAGAAGCTATACAATGAGTTGGATGAAGAAAGTGAAGCCTCAGCTAGTGCTGCTAGTGAAGCGTTATCGATGATTTTACGTCTTCAAGGCGAAAAGGCTGCAGAGGAAATGGAAGCAGAACAATATAAGAGATTTGTAGAGGAAAAAATGTGTCATGCAGACGAGTCATTATCCATTTTTCAAGATCTTATTCATGAAAAAGAGATGGAAATAGTTGCTTTAGATTATCAAACACATGCTTATCGATATAAGTTATTAAGTATAGGCTGTGATGATATTGAATTTAATGAGGATTTGTTTCATAAGAATGAAAGTTTTGATCAAGAAATGAGTGTTCAAGCTATTGGGAGGTGTAAATCAGCTCCAAATATTCCACAGAAATATGCTAATCAGATAAAGGGAAATCTTGATAAAGATGAATATATATATCAGTCAAGAACGCGATTTGAATGATACTTCAATGGATGGAAGTATAGATTTATACTGTGAGAAGATTGAAAAGTTGGAAGAAAGAGTGAAACAGATTGCTGGTGCTAACTATGCGAAATCGTGCAGTAGTGAGATGAAGTCACATTTACCACTTTCTAAAAGAAACTCTTGTAACAATTTCCTCGACGTTTACCAAGTTAAGCATCGAGGAAATAATCAGAAAATGGAACGTCTGTGCGTTCTGCTTCTCCTCCGAATGTTCTTGATGTATTTGAAGTCCCTCGAGCTATTAAAGACGACGATAAGATGATATGGAAGAGCGATGAAAGACAACATTTTGTCCCAAAAGAGGCTGTGAAACAACTTGTTAAAGATCAAACTGATTGCCTTAAGAAATATTTAGTACCTATGCAGCATGAGAACAATTTACATAAAGTAGGTGAAGCTGCTGCAGTCGACTGTCATTTGGCGATTTGCACTACAACTAGTGCTACAGAAACAGAAGAGATTCGTCGTCTAAATAGGACGACTGAGATAGTTGAAGTTGAGGTACAAGGCAAGAATCCGACAGACACGAAGAACTAATGTTGTTACATGAGATTAAGGAGCAAATAAATTTGATGCAATCTGAAGTTAGAAGTTGGAAAAATAAGAAATCCCCTACAAGAGATGAGTTATCTGTAGTTTCTCTAACAGAGGTACAACTCCCTTTTACTGTTTTTTTTTGTATATATTTTGCTTGCAATAAGTCTGTATATATGTGAAAATCTTGACAATGTGTTAAAATGGTGGACAGGTAATGGTTTGCTTTTGGCTCTGATATCAGCTATCAAAAATCTTTCAAATTCTAGATGTTAGAAATTTGTACTTATTATGCTTTTTTTGAGTATTGTAACAGTCCTTTTGGCATTTTTACAAGAATGCCCACAAAGGGGTGATTTGATTATAAAATTGATCACTAGTGACTTGTAAATGTTGTATGTTTCTTGAATCTGCAACAACTTAATTTACCACATCAAGAACATGATATCAACATGATATTTTGCTTTGAATTTCCCTCTATCTTCTTGTGAGTTTTGGTTGTAAGTTATCTCTACTGCAGTTTATAGTTTAAGCTAGAATATTTGTACTGACTGGATAGATAGATATATATATGCTTTGGATTGGATCTTCACTGGTGCTTCTCTTGAATTATCTGACCATCTCATCGAAAAACTTAACATGTTACATAGTAAACATTTTTAACTATTTCTTACTATGCTCCTTCATCGTACAGATCTGATTCTTTTTCTTGCGTCAAGTACGTTGAAATACTTTTTTGGTCAATAGGTGGTGGCGAGACATCAATATCCGACCTTTATTGACTCGGTACTGACCTATAAAAAAAAGGGGCAACCCGGTGCACAAGGCATTCTGTGTTCACGTAAGGTCCGGGGAAGGGCCGCACCCAAGAGGTATGATGTAGACAGCCTAACCTAATGCAAGCATTAGTGGCTGCTTCCACCACTCGAATTCGTGACTTATGAGTCACATGGAGACAACTTTACCGTTGCTCTAAGGCTCCCCTTCACGGTATTGTATTGTGCGACAATTTTTTTTAGAAAGTTTAAATTGTAGGGAATATTTTTAAGATTGCTTAATTAGTAGTTAACAGGTTTCTTGGTTCAAGAGAAAGTCAAACACCATCTTATAGAAAATGATCATATCTACAGAAATTTATTGAAGCATACATCCACCATTTATTATAGAACAAGTCATCTTGCTTTCCACAATGGGATTTCTTAATTAGTTCATTTCCCAGATTTGCATATCATATGTTGTCTTAATTATACGCATTTATCAAGCTGAGTGGTGTATTCATTTGTCTTCAATCTTTAAATGCATATTAATAACAAGAAAGAAGTGAGAAATCTTGTTATTGTTACTGCTTCTTTGACTTTTTCACTACTGCATTTCTTTCTCGATACTGTTGTGATTATGCATGCTTGCTTTGAGTCGAGAGCAAATCGGAAATAACATCTCTATCTGCACAAGGTAGGGTAAGGTTGTGTATTCTTGTTCCCATGGCTACCAACTCATCAGAAAATATTGATCAGCTCAATGAAGTGATAGTAGCCATGGTACCATTTCCTGATTATAGCCATCTCAACCAGCTTTTCATTCTTGGTTGCTTCATCGCTTCCCATAATATACTAGTACATTTCCTCTGCCTTGCTGATCGGAACCAAGATTTGAAACTGCGCGTCCAAGGTGATCTCAGGGCCTCAAACATCCATTTCCATGACATTTTAGTACCTTCTTCTCTGGCAGGAATAGAAGATGCTGGACACGGTCTGCCTTCGATTGTAACATTTATAAGAAGCCTCATCGATCCCATTCAAAGAACGTGTATTGATCTCTCTACCAATGCAAAGAGATTGGTCATAATTCATGACTCCATAATGATGGATCATGTGAGGGATGTTCATTCATACCCGAACGTGAAGTCTTATATGTTCCACTCCATTTCAGCATTTGCCAGATATTCTTTGCTCCGACAAAGTATTGATCACATATTTGATGATGATGATGATCATGAAGAAATGATCGAGAAAATGCAGTATGAGTTTCCGTTGTTGGAGAGTTCGGTTGCACCATTTGCGGCAGTTTTACTTAGAAAGGAACATGAATGGAAGCTCAACTCGGGAGAAATCATGAACTCCTGCAGAGAACTAGAAGGTAAGTACTTAGATTTACTTGCCAATGCAAAAGACAAGCCGTGGTTGGCTGTTGGTCCACTTCATATGCTGCTAGAATCACATGACTCTAGCAATAAGAGTCATCATGAATGCCTTGAATTTCTCGACAAGCAAGACGTTAATTCAGTAATATTGGTCTCGTTTGGAACAACCACTACATTCTCACAAGAGCAAGTCAGTGAGCTCGCGCTTGGTTTAGAACAAAGCAACCATAAATTTATTTGGGTACTAAGAGAAGGTGATAAAAAGATGGAAAATGAGAAATTTGAAGAGAAAGACGGGAAGATTGAATTACCAGAAGGATTTGAAGAAAGAACAAAAGGAAGAGGAATGGTAGTGAGAAATTGGGCGCCACAATTGGAAATCTTGGGGCACCCGTCTACGGGTGGATTTTTGAGTCATTGCGGATGGAATTCTTGTATCGAGATCATTAGCATGGGAGTGCCTCTAGCAACTTGGCCAATCCAATACGACCAGCCTTATAACGCTATTCAGGTAATCAATGTGCTGAAGATTGGAACCTCTGTGAAGAGTTGGGCTCGTCGAGAGGAATTGGTGACAACATCAACCATTGAGAAAGCTGTCAAGACTTTGATGGGTACGACAGAAGGAGAAGAGATGAGGCAAAGGGCGATGGAGTTGAGCAATAAGATCAAGAGCTCTGATAGCCATGGAGGACTTGCACGCAAGGAAATGGAATCATTCATATCCTATATTACCAGGTAACTTCGTCGAGATCAGAAGAAAGTCAAGAAAGTCATCACGACATGGCCCTTTCAATCTTTCTTAGTTATGTTGATTAATCTTTTATCATTAGTAGTTCATAATCTCAAGGCCAGTACTAGATTAAAGAGGATGACTGCTTCCTGTATTTTAATAAAACATTAGCTACCTTGATATTTATGAGTTTTTACTCATACTACTAGTTTTGTGGTAGCAGTTTGATTTGTAATCCTTTTAGACTATTCTTTCAATACGAAGATAAAATTTGAATCAACCAAAGATCTAATTCTGCAAGGGAACCCTTGGAGCAACGGTAATGTTGTCTCCGCGTGAGCTATAGGTGAAGGGTTCGAGCCGTGTAAGCAACCACTAATGCTTGCACTAAGATAGGCTGTCTACATCGCACCACTTGAGGTGCGGCCCTTCCCCGGATCCTGTGTGAATGCTGGATGCTTTGTGCATCGGGCTGCCCTAAGCAAATATCTAATTCTGAATGAGCACTAATCCTGAGAGTAGAGCATTGACAATGTGTTAAAATGGTGTACAGGTAATGGTTTGCTTTTGGCTCTGATATCAGAAAGCTTGCAAATTCAAGATGTTGAAATTTGTTTTTATTATGCATTTTTGAGTATTGTAACTGTCTTATTGGCATTTTTACAAGAATGGCCACAAAATTGATCATTAGTTGGTTGTAGATGTTGTATGTTTCATGAATCTGCAACAACTTAATTTACCACATCAAGAACATGATATCTTGTGAGATCGAGTCACCCCAAGAGCAAGGTGGAGAGCTCTTGGAGGAAGGGAATAAAAAAAAATATGATATCAACATGATATTTTGCTTTGAATTTTCCTATATCTTCTTGTGAGTTTTGGTTGTAAGTCTCTACTGCAGTTTGTAGTTTAAGCTAGAATATTTGTACTGACTAGATAGATATATATGATTTGGATTGGATCTTGAATGGTGCTTCTCTTGAATTATCTGACAATCTCATCGAAAAACTTAACATGTTACTTAGTAAACATTTTTTTTTTACTATTTCTTATTGTGCTCCTTTATCGTGTCGATCTGATTCTTTTTCTTGCATCAAGCACGTTGAAATACTTTTTTGGTTAATAGGTGGTGGTGAGACTTCAATTTATGACCTTTATTGATACGGTATTGACTTGTAAAAAGAAAAAGGCAATCCGGTGCACAAGGCATCCTGCGTTCACGCAGGGTCCGAGGAATGGCCACACCCAAGAGGTGTGATGTAGACAGCCCAACCTAATGCAATTATTAGTGGCTTCTTTCACGGCTCGAACTCACACGGAGACAACTTTACCGTTGCTCCAAAGCTCTCCGTCATGTATTGAATTGTGCGACAATTTATTTAGAAAGTTTGAATTGTAAGGAATATTTTTTTAGATTGCTTAATTAGTAGATAACAGGTTTCTTGGTTCAAGAGAAAGTCAAACATCACCTTATACAAAATGATCATATCTGCAGAAATTTAGTGAAGCAAGCACCCACCATTTATTGTAGAACACATCTTGCATACAACATAGGGATCTCTTAATTAGTTCATTTCCAAGATTTGCATATCACACGTTGTCTTAATTATACACATTTATCAAGCTGAGTGGTGCATTCATTTGTCTTCAATCTTTAAATGCATATTAATAACAAGAAAAAAGTATGAGAAATCTTGTTGTTGTTACTGCTTCTTTGACTTTTCCACTGCTGCATTTCTTTCTCGATACTGTTGTGATTATGCAAGCTTGCTTTGAGACGAGAGTTTATCGGAAACAACATCTCTGTCTGCACAAGGTAAGGTAAGTCTGCGTACTCTCTACCCTCCTCAGACCCCACTTGTGGGATTACGCTGGGTATGTTGTTGTTGTTGTTGTAAAGAAGTATGAGAAGTTTGAAACAAGTATTTCTGTAGTTAATCCCTAAACTCATTGCACATTATCTATTTCTCAGTTATTTTCTGCTTCTTCCTATGGCTACCAACACATCAGACAATATTGATCAGCTCAATAAAGTGATAGTAGCCATGGTACCATTTCCTGATAATAGCCATCTTACTCAGCTCTTTGTTCTTGGTCGCTTCATCTCTCATAATATACCAGTACATTTCCTCTGCCTTGCTGATCGGAACCAAGATTTGAAACTGCGCGTCCAAGGTGATCTCAGGGCCTCAAACATCCATTTCCATGACATTTTAGTACCTTCTTCTCTGGCAGAAATAGAAGATGTTGGCGATGGTCTGCCTTCGATTGTACTATTTATAAAAAGCATCATCAATCCCATTCGAAGAGCGTGTATTGATCTCTCTACCAATGCAAAGAGATTTGACATAATTCATGACTCCATAATGATGGATCATGTGAGGGATGTTCATTCATACCCGAACGTGAAGTCTTATATGTTCCACTCCATTTCAGCATTTGCCAGATATTCTTTGCTCCGACAAAGTATTGATCACATAGTTGATGATGATGATCATGAAGGAATGATTGAGAAAATGCCGGATGAGTTTCCGTTATTGGAGAGTACGGTTGCACCATTTGCGGCAGTTTTACTTAGAAAGGAACATGAATGGAAGCTCAACTCGGGAGAAATCATGAACTCCTGCAGAGAACTAGAAGGTAAGTACTTAGATTCACTTGCCAATGCAAAAGGCAAGCCGTGGTTGGCTGTTGGTCCACTCATATGCTGCTAGAATCACACGACTCTAACAACAAGAGTCGTCATGAGTGCCTAGACTTTCTGGACAAGCAAGACGCTAATTCAGTAATATTTGTTTCTTTTGGAACAACCACTACATTCTCACAAGAGCAAGTCAATGAGCTCGCGCTTGGTTTAGAACAAAGCAACCATAGGTTCATTTGGGTACTAAGAGAAGCAGCTAAAAAGATGGAAAATGAGAAATTTGAAGAGAAAGATGGGAAGATTGAATTACCAGAAGGATTTGAAGAAAGAACGAAAGGAAGAGGAATGATAGTGAGAAATTGGGCGCCACAATTGGAAATCTTGGGGCACCCGTCTACAGGTGGATTTTTGAGTCATTGCGGATGGAATTCTTGTATCGAGAGCATTAGCATGGGGGTGCCTCTAGCAACTTGGCCAATCCAATACGACCAGCCTTATAACGCTATTTTGGTAACCAATGTACTGAAGATTGGAACCTCTGTCAGGAGTTGGTCTCACCGAGAGGACTTGGTGACTGCATCAACCATTGAGAAAGCTGTCAAGACTTTGATGGGTAAGACTGAAGGGGAAGGGATGAGGCAAAGGGCGATGGAATTTCTGTTAGCCATGGAGGACTTGCGCGCAAGGAAATGGAATCTTTCGTATCATGTATAATCAAATAACTTTATAGGCCGTATTGTTTTAATACACGACTAAGGAGAAAGACAAGTATATAAGCCTTAATTCTCTTATCTTTTTCCTTATATGAAAGACTAGTAGTCACATTGGAGGTTTTTCTTCAAAACTATGTAAATAAACATAAAGCTCTCAGTTCTATTATCCACTGTTGGCATAACCTTGATAGCCAATGGAAGAAGCAGTCTTATATTGCTAAAATAAGAGAAGTCCAACTTCAATCGAGCTAGATCAGTGTATATCAGACATTCATATTTGAGAATTAGTAGATTATGATCTTAGTTTTAGAGCTCATTTGAGTAGCAGTTTAATTCTCATAATCTTCAGATCATCTGAAGGGGATAAAGGTATTTGAACCTTAGTCTTGCATTTTTCTCTTTTTGGGACAGAGTTATTCTATATTTATATTGGCGCGAGGTAGCAAGGACCTGTTAAATTAGTCCAGGTGCAGAAAAAAGTTGGCTCACACACCACTGTTATCAAAAAGCTAATCAGTTTGGACTGTCTTGGTATAAGAAACTAAAATATACATTCATGCATCAGACAAATAAATGCCATACATCTGAAAGTTTAAATTGTAAGGAATAATTTTTTAGTTTACTTAATTATCTGTTTAATAGGTTTCTTGGTTTAAGATCGAAGTCAAACACCACCTGATTGAGCCTTAATTTGTTGAATTTCTTAAATCTTCATATCACATGATGCCTTTATTGTACACGTTTATCAATAGAGTGGAACATTCATTTCTATTCAATCTTTAAATGCATACTAACTTGAAATAAGTATAAAAAGTGCAGCCCGGTGCACTAAGCTCCCGCTATGCACGGGGTTTCGAGAAGGGCCGAACCACAAGGATCTATTGTATAGAGTCTTACCCTGCATTTCTGCAAGAGGCTGTTTCCATGGTTCGAACTCGTGACTTCCTGGTCACAAGCAGCAATTGTACCAGTTACGCCAAAGCTCCCCTTCTAACTTGATATAAGTATGAGAAGTATGATACAAGTATTTTCTGTAGTTAAGCATCTAACCATATTATATTGTACGTCACTCATTTCGCAGTTCTTGTCTTCTTCTTCTTATGGCTATCAACTCATCAGACAATATTGATCAGCTTAATGAAGTGACTGTGGCCATGGTGCCATTTCCCTATTATAGTCATATAAACCAACTTTTCATCCTTGCTCGCTTCATCGCCTCCCATAATATGCCAGTACATTTCCTCTGTCTTGGTGAACGGAACCAAGATTTGAAGCAACGCGTCCAAGATGGTTTGGAAGTCTCTAACATTCTTTTCAATGACATTTCGCCACCTTATTAAAGCAGAAGACACCAGAGAAGCTGGCGATGGTCGGGGCATCGCTTCTAATCTTCTTGAAAAAACTTAGCGAGCCCATTCGTAGAATATGCCTTGAGCTCTCGACCAATGCAAAGAGATTAGTCATAATTCATGACACCATAATGAGGAGTTATATGGGGGATGTCCATTCATTCTTGAATGTAGAGTTCCTATAAGTTCCACTTTTTTTCAGCTTTTACCAGATATGCTATGCTTCGACAAAGTATTAGTGACATATTTGACGATGATCATGACAAAATGATCCAGCAAATGCAGGATGAGTTTCCGTTGTTGGACAGTTGGGCTGCAGCCGATATGGCAGTGTTCGTTAGACAGGAACATGAGTGGACGCTCGGCTCAGGGTAAATCATGAACTCCTGCAGAGAACTGGAAGGTAAGTATACCTAGATTTACTTGCCAATGCACTACACAACAAGTGGTTGTGGGCTATTGGTCCACTTCTGTCACGACCCTAACCGATGGGCCGCGACGGGTGCCAGAGTCCTACCTGTCGAACGCCCTTAAACATATGTTTAAGATATAAACATGAATAACATACGTGAGGGAAACCTGTCCGAAAGACATATATACATATACATGCGGAATATAGTGGGGCGAGCCGGCAAGGCTGCTATAGACAACTATATACCAAAACTGGAAGCCGACAAGGCCACATACTATCCAGCTATTATGGCTACAAACACATCAGACAATATTAATCAGGTTATGAAGTAATTGTGGCCATGGTTCCATTTCCTTTATATAGTCATATAAACCAACTTTTCATCCTTGCTCGCTTCATGGCCTCCCATAATATACCAGTACACTTCCTCTGTCTTGTTGACCGGAACCAAGATTCGAAGCAACGCGTCCAAGATGGTTTGGAAGTCTCTAACATTCTTTTCAATGACCTTTCGCCACCTTGTAAAGCAGAAACACCAGAGAAGCTGGCGATGGTCTGGGGAATCGCTTCTAATCTTTTTGAAAAAACTTAGCGAGCCCATTCGTAGAACATGCCTTGAGCTCTCGACCAATGCAAAGAGATTAGTCATAATTCATTACACCATAATGAGGAGTTATATGGGGTATGTCCATTCATTCTTGAATGTAGAGTTCCTATAAGTTCCACTTTTTTTTAACTTTTACCAGACATGCTATGCTTCGACAAAGTATTAGTGACATATTTGACGATGATCATGACAAAATGATCCAGCAAATGCAGGATGAGTTTCCCTTGTTGGACAGTTGGGCTGCAGCCAATATGGCAGTGTTCGTTAGAGAGGAACATGAGTGGACGCTCGGCTCAGGGTAAATCATGAACTCCTGCAGAGAACTGGAAGGTAAGTATACCTAGATTTACTTGCCAATGCACTACACAACAAGTGGTTGTGGGCTATTGGTCCACTTCTGTCACGACCCTAACCGATGGGCCGCGACGGGTGCCAGAGTCCTACCTGTCGAACGCCCTTAAACATATGTTTAAGATATAAACATGAATAACATACGTGAGGGAAACCTGTCCGAAAGACATATATACATATACATGCGGAATATAGTGGGGCGAGCCGGCAAGGCTGCTATAAACAACTATATACCAAAACCGGAAGCCGACAAGGCCACATACTATCCAGCTATACATAACTGTCTACAAACCTCTAACAGAATATACAACTGTACAAGGACGGGACGGGACCCCGTCACACCCATATATGTATACAAACATATCATACCAAAATCAAAAGCAGCTCCGGATCAAGTGGAGCACACCAACCCTCGCTGATCAAGGATCCTAAGAAGGGGGACTATCAGCTTGTCTACCTGCACCTGCGGGCATGAAACACAGACCCCGTGAAATAGGGTGTCAGTACGAATAATGTACTGAGAATGTAAGGCATGAAAATCAGTACATAACAGACATAGATGAAACATGGAATAAAGAATTCCGCCTGTAAGTCTAAATAACTTTGTAAATCCTGAAACATTTATGATCTCATGCACGTGCGTATAATGTCGTATCATGCATAGGTATAGGTGTACATAACACCATCAAGCCTCTGAGGGCATCCCATCATATCATCTCGGCCACTGTGGCAAAATCATCAACATATACCAGCTGATCAGGGGGTGGTGCGTATATAACGCCGTAACCTTTTTCCATATATATATATATATATATATATATATATATATATATATATATATATATATATATATATATATATATATNTAACGTACCGTAACCGTTTTACCTACTAACTATATATTATATATATATATATATATATATATATAACGCCATCTAGTCATGGGTCAATGTAAATGAATGCAATCCATGAGAACTACGTCAATAAAATCTTTCGGAGTGTCATAAGACCATTACGCCTCTGATTAATATCATGACATAGACTTTATCAACTTACGTATTTTTGGAGACCCATGAACAGATGATAGAATAATAAGACTTGTGGGAAATCAAGAATATAAGCATCTCTACGAATGGAGTCATTTATTGAAGTTGTGTATTTGCTCGTTTCGTTTATGTCGTATGGATCATGCCAAAAGGAAAGAAGGGATAGCCTTAACATACCTGAGCCGATTCTCTTGACAATCCTTTTAACACATGCCAATCGCGACGAAACACGTAAGGGAGAGATCGAAATAGGGAACGACCAAATTCAATCACAACAATAGCACAAACCAAATGCCTACCAAGTGCTCCATCGTGTGTTATTTGGTATTGTAGTAGGAAGATGTTATGTATTCTTTTGATATATTCCAATGTGTCTTTGTAATGGAAAGAGCACTATATTTAGATCACTTGAAAATCTGAAAGACAAAATGAAGCAAAATGGTCACAACTTCTATGTATGTTGCAACACGTGATGAAGAAATGTGTTTGAATAGGTGTGGGCCCACTTCATATGGTGGCTTAGCCACATAACATTAGTTTGAAAGGTGGCCTGCCACGTTGGGGAATTTTAACCTTTATCCAATAATTTAGGTAATATCCCATTATCCAATAATTAATCAATTACTCACATAATTAAGAATTATTTCAATTAACTTAAAATATTACTCACTTTTAACTTACCTTGTACCCCTTACTATCATGATCATGTAGTACCTTGTATGGCACTAGTCCATAAATACCGGATATTATGGCTAATATCGTATTTTATCCCAAATCAACAACCTTCAACGAAACTCATTTTCTTTGATTCGTTTACCCTTAACCTTCACGGTACTTACTTATGCTTGTTATAACTAGCATAAATGCTTATAACCTCAAAAGATAATTTCATCCCTGAGTCTAATACGTCGATTAACTGAAGATAAAACTTTAACGTACGAAAACGTGAGATGTAACATCTTCACGTGCTGCTAGAATCACGCGACTCAAGCAACATATCAACTCGTCATGAATGCCTAGAATTTCTAAACAAGCAAGGTGTTAATACAGTAATATTCGTCTCGTTTGGAACAACCACTACATTCTCACAAGAGCAAATCAATAAGCTCGCGGTTGGTTTAGAACAAAGCAACCATAGGTTTATTTGGGTACTACGAGAAGCGGATAAAAAGATGGAAGTCGAGAAATTTGAAGAGAAAGATGGGAAGATTGAATTACCAGAAGGATTTGAAGAAAGAACGAAAGGAAGAGGAATGGTAATGAGAAATTGGGCGCCCCAATTAGAAATCTTGGGGCACCCGTCTACAGGTGGATTTTTGAGTCATTGCGGATGTAATTTTTGTATCGAAAGCATTAGCATGGGGGTACCTCTAGCAAGTTGGCCAATCCAATACGATCAGCCATATAATGCTGTTTACGTAACCAACATGCTGAAGATTGGAACCTCTGTAAAGAGTTGGGCTCGTCGAGAGGAATTGGTGACAGCCTCAACCATTGAAAAAGCTGTCAAGACTTTGATGGGTACGACAGAAAGAGAAGCTCACTACAAAAAAACTACTTAAATTCGTCCAAGAAAACCGACCGAAATTGGTCGGATATTATAAACAAGCGATCGATTTCCGACCGCTTTTAATTACTCGAAAAAATGATAGTCGCTAATGTGTTGCGACCAAAATCGGTCGGTTTATTCAAAGCGTTGACTGACTATCAAACTTCATTTACCGACCGAAATCGGTCGGAAATTTCAAAAATCTAGAGATTTCATTTGAAATTAGCAATAAGATCAAGAGCTCTGATAGAAGTGGAGGACTTATGCGCAAGGAAATGGAATGTTTCATCTCCTATATTATCAAATAACTTCAAGCCCGTGTTATTTAATACACGGCCAGATCAGTGTATTCATATTTGAGCAATAATAGTTTTTGTTCCTGCTTTGGAGCTCATTTGACTAGCTCTTTACTTCTCACAATCTTCAGATCCTTGCATGGAAATTGAAGAGTCTTTAAGAACATAGTCCAAAAGAGTAGTTGGATCGGCTATATGAATCCTCACTGACCGTGTTTTAAATTCACCTCAAGACAACATTTTACAAAAGTAAAAACGAAAATAAACTCAGATGTCTTGAGTTCAAATCCTAAAAATAAAATAAAAAATCTTTCAGAAATGTGTTACCCCTCAAAAATCAAAATTAATCGAGTCAATAAACTTAGACACCAGATAGTAAAATAAAGCCCATCTTCAAAATCTGCATATGACAAGATGCTCTTATTATACACATTTGTCAAGAGAGTGGCAAGTGCATTTATGCTCAATCTTTAAATGCACATTAACAACTAACAACAGAAGTTTGGTATGCATTTTATTGAACATATGATACACCACCAAAGGATGTGGTGCACTGGATGGGACTGCTCCTCCCTTAACCAGAGGTCTCGAGTTCGAGCCTTGGGTATGAAAAAATCCTTGGTAGGGAGAGCTTCCCCCGAAAGGGGCCCTACGCGGCGCGAATCCGGATATAGTCGGGCTCCAATGCGGGTACCGGACACCGGGTGGGAAACCAAAAAAAAAACATATGATACAAAGTATTTTATTTTATTTGATTTTCGCCCTGCACTCATTGTAAGTTATTCATTTCTCAGTTCTTCTCCTTTTGTTCCAATGGCTACCAACTCATCAGACAACATTGTTCACCTTAATGAAGTGATTGTGGCAATGGTACCATTTCCTGAATATAGCCATCTCAACCAGCTTTTCATCGTTGCTCGTTTTATCGCCTCACATAATATACCAGTACACTTACTCTCTCTTGGTGAGCAGAGCCAAAATTTTAAGTTGCGCGTCCAAGGTTGTCTAGAGTTCTCCAACATTCATTTCAATGACCTTGTGCTACCTTCTGAAACAGAAGACACCGAATATGCTGGTGATGATCTGCCTCCAATTGTATCATTGTTGAAAAAGCTTAACGACCCCATTTATAAAACATGTCTTGAACTCTCAATCAACGCGAAAAGATTGATCATAATTCATGACAATCCGATGACTACTGCTATGGGGGATGTGCTTTCGTTCCCAAATGTAGAGTCGTATATTTTCCACTCCATTCCAGCTTTTACAAGATATTCTTTGTTCCGACAATGTATTGACTCAGTTGATGACGATCATGAAGAAATTCTTCCGCAACTGCAAGATGAGCTTCCGACAACAGAGAGTTGTTTTGGACAGTATATGGCATTGTTCGTTAGAATAGAACGCGAATGGAAGCTCAACGCAGGAGAAATCATGAACTCTTGTAGAGAAGTCGAAGGTAAGTACCTAGATTTACTTGCACATGAAAGTATAGACAAGAAGCCGTTGTGGGCTGTTGGTCCACTTCATATGCTGCTGCTAGAATCACATAACTCTAGTAACACGACTCGTCATGAATGCCTAGAGTATCTCGATATGCAAGATGTTAATTCAGTAATATTCGTTTCGTTTGGAACAAACACTAAACTCTCACAAGAACAAGTCAATGAGATAGCGCTTGGTTTAGAACAAAGCAACCATAGATTTATTTGGGTACTAAGACAAGCAGATAAAAAAACGGACATGAAAAAAGTTGAAGAAAAAGATGGAAAGATTGAATTACCAAAAGAATTTGAAGAAAGAGTAAAAGGAAGAGGAATGGTAGTGAGAAATTGGGTACCTCAATTGGAAATCTTGGGACATCCATCTACTGGTGGATTTTTAAGTCATTGCGGATGGAATTCTTGTCTAGAGAGCATTAGTATGGGAGTTCCAATAGCAGATTGGCCGAACAGTGCAGACCAGCCTTATAACGCTGTTTTTGTAACTAGCGTGCTAAAGGTTGGAATCTCTGTGTGTAGTTGGGATCGGAGAGAAGAATTGGCGACGGCAACAGCGGTTGAAAAGGCTGTCAAGACGTTGATGGCTACAACAGAAGGAGAAGAGATGAGGCAAAGGGCGATGGAGTTGAGCAATAAGATCAAGAACTCTGTTAGTCGTGGAGGACTTGCGCGCAAGGAAATGGAATCTTTCATATCATGCATTACCAGGTAAAGTTGTATCCGCGTGACCAATAGGTTACATGTTCGAGCCATGTAAGCAGCCACTAATGCTTGGATTAAAGAGTATGACTGCTTCCTTTGTTTCAATAAAACATTAGCTACCTTGTTATTTATGAGTTGTTACTCTTATTAGCACTGGTTTTGTACCAGCAATTTGATTTGTCCTTTTAAACTACTCTTTAAACTACTATTGCTACATGTTGATCATTTCGCTTGTTTTCTTATTATCTTGTTCTTGTTACTGCTTTCTTTTCTTCTTTCCTTGAGTCGGGGGTCTATCGGAAACAGCCTCTCTACCCTCAAGGTTGGGGTAAGATCTGCATACACATTACCCTCCCCATACCTCACTCGTGGAATTATACTAGGTTTGTTATTGTTGTTTCAATATGAACATAAGATCTGAATCAAGCAAAGATCTAATTCCGAATAGAGAAAAGTCCAACGTACTTAACATTTTGAGACGGGCGAAAAGAGCTACTCGAATAGAGCAAGATGAATATAGGAACATAAATTACTAATTTACAACTAAAAAAAGGGCGGCCCCGTGCACGAAGCATACCGCGTTCACGCAGGGTCTGATGAAGGGCCGCACATCAAGGGATGTGATGTAAATAGCCTACCCTAATGCACAACTAAGAATTTGATAAATATATGCACTCCGCTCTCAACTAGATATAGATTCTCATTACAGTAGATTCCCAAATTAAGATTTTCTTCCATTTAGTCAAGTAATCTGTATAAGTCTGCATAATATAATAGGATAGAGAGCTTAATGTTTCTCTTTAGATACAAAAAAAGTCATAAATTGCAGTGCTGGATTTCAATATATACTGACAGTTTAGCATAAAACCAACGTTTTAAAACATTTGATACGACACAATCTAAGTTGGCATGGCAAAAAGGAGAAGTTGTCTTATATAATAGATTTATAGGATGGAACTTAATTGCAGATGATATACAAGCGATGGACACTAAAGCATGTCGTCAACAACAACAACAAATTCAGTATAATTTCACAAAATAGGGTGGAGCGTGTCGTCAATAAGTGAATTTTTTTTATTTGGTAATATAAGAAATGAAAAGATTCCATTTCCTTACGCGCAAGTCCTACACGGCTAACAGAACTTTTGATCTTATTACTCAACTCCTTTGCCTTCTGTCTCATCTCTTCCCCTTCTGGCCTGAAGCGGACCTACATGGTCGGCAAAGGGGTCACAGGCACTCGGAAACTTCGGCGAAAAACTCCATATATATTTGCTAATTTCTTCAAGAAATAGTCAGATATTAACAAAGACCCCCGTACCAATCTTTATGAGCAGATAAATTTATATTGAATATAACGGTGCCTCCTTAACTGTCGAATCTTGGGTCCGCCTCTGCTTCTGGTGTTCCCATCAATGTGTTGACAGCTTTCTCAACCGCCTTTGATGTCACCAATTCTTCCCTACAAGCCCAACTTCTAACCGAAGTTCCAATTTTCAGCACGTTGGTCACAAAAACAGCGTTATAAGGTTGGTCCACATGGATCGGCCAAGTTGCTATAGGAACTCCCGTGCTAACGCTCTCCTTACACGAATTCCATCCATAGTGACTCAAGAACCCGCCTATAGATTTATGTCCCAAGATTTTCAATTGGGGCACCCAATTTCTCACCACCATTCCTTTTCCTTCCATTTTTTCTTCAAACCCTTTAGGTAATTTAAACTTCCCGTCTTGCCCTTCACATTTCTCGCTATCTATCTTTCTATCTGCTTCTCTTAGTACCCAAATAAACTTGTGGTCGCTCTGTACCAAACCAAGCGCAAGCTCATTCACTAGCTCCTGACTCCTGTGAAAATATAGTTGTTGTTCTAAACGAAACAAATATTACTGAACTATCATCTTGCTCGTCGAGAAATTCAAGACATTCGTGGCAATTTCTATCGCCACATGACTCGAGTGATTCGAGTATCATATGAACTGGACCAAGAGCTCACAATGGCTTAGATCTGACATTAGCAAGTAAATCTATGCATTTGCCTTCCAATTCTCTAGAAAAATTCATAAATTCACCAGTATTGGGATTCGGCTCACGTTCTTTTTTCACAAACTCGACTATATCAGATCCAAAACAATTCTTCACACGTGGAAATTCATCAAGTTGAGTGATCATTTTGTCATGATCCTCGTCAACTACATTAACAATTTGTCTGGATGCAGAATACACAGTAAAAGCTGAAATAGCATGAAAAGAGTAACACTCTACGTTTGAAACTGAATACACATCCCTCATATAACTTGTCATTAAAGAATCATAAATAATGACCAATTTACAAATAAATTCCTATGAAAGTCACAACTTTAAATTTTAAAAGTTAATCATAAAATACATAAACAGACACTTAAAGTTGGCCTCGTATGTCTCTCTCACACTCCAACTTACCAGGTCATTTCAACATGTTGTATGTGCATTATATAACCTAAACCAAGAGCCTGAAGATTATGTGGAGCATTGGTATAGGAAGGATCCTTCCTATACCAATATGGCATAATCTTCAGGCTCTTGGATTAGGTTATATAATGCACATACAGCATGTTGACATGGAATGCCTCTAAGCTGCCATAATCTACAAGTACATGTTTTCCTTCTCAAATCAACAATAAACCCTTTTACATCTTCATCTATTTCACATCCATATTGACCATTCTACATAAACTGACATCTCCTGGAAAGTTCCTTGCTCTCTTCTAATATCAACCTTGCCATAGGAGATATGTCTAATATCCAAGTTTCAGCAAATTTTAATATTTCAGCATTTCTAGTCATTATTTTTCTTCTAATTTTCTCCAACATAGTGATAATTGATTTGTGCCTAGGAGCTAAAATCAAAGAGTTAAAAGTCTCGCACATATTATTTTCAACAATGTCACACTTGGCATGCTCTTTAAAGTATGCCCTACACCATGTTTCTTTTCTGTACTTTAACAAGTCTTCACAAATATGCTTACCAAGCTTATCAAATTTTGCCATCTCCTCTTTTAATTTGACTTCATAACTTGATTTAGCACATCTTCAAAATTACTTTCTCATCTCCTCTCCTTTCGAGTGTTGCTGCCAGTTGGACTAGATGTGTCTTGCACACATCCTGTACTCACAGTCCGGTAGAAGTTCAAGTATAGTTGGCACAAGTCCCTATAAACAAGAATAAGACATTTAGTTAATAACATACAAAACAACAGTTAAAATTAGGAATAGAATAAACATCACATTACCTTCTGCATATCTGACATCACCAGTAAGCCCCTATCCACTTCCTAATTGAAGATCTTCTATCAGGTAATTAATGAAAAATGACCAGCTATAATTGGTCTCCTGGTCTACAACAACCCAGGCAATTGGAAATATTTGTTGGTTTCCATTCCTGCCAACTGCAACTAACAACTCACCCTTACAAGCATCCTTTAGAAAACGGCCATCAAAACCAACTTCTACATCCTTCTAACCAACCCCTCCTCAAAGCATCAAAGCATACATAGAAATAAACAAATAAAATTTTTCCAGGATCGAATTCTCTATTAGTCCTTACCCGACATGAGCTGCCATAATTGGTTAGTTTGATTTTTGATCAATATAATCACACAACCTAGCAAATTCTTGTTTCCAGTCACCCATAAACTCTTTCATAATCTTTTGCTTTGCCCTTTGACAGATTGTCCTACCAACATACAAACCTAATCTATCTCTACATAGCTCCTGAAGTTCCCAGATCTTCATATAAGGCTGTTTAGTAATCTCATCCTTGAATTCATTTGCAACAAACTTATAGGTACACAATTTGTTCTTGTTTGAAGTGTTGCATTTGTGCACAGGGTGATAATTTTTCACCATAAACTCACCTGAATCTCTGTCAAGTGCAGCATAAAACAACCAGTTGCATCTCTTTTCTTTGCATGTTGCCCTCACTCTTTCCTTTTCATTAGGTTTTAGTTTCAACTGGACTTTGTATTCAATAGCATACTTTATAACAACCTTCCTAAATTCTACAACATTCTCAAATATCATCCCAACTTCAAATATAGCCACAACACAATCATCATCATACCTTAGCTTACTACTATTTCTTCTAGCAGGTAGATCAACACCCCTAACAGCTTCAGGATCTAACTCATCTCTACTGTCATCACTATCTGCCTCTGAACTATCAATAAACTGCTCATCACCCCCTAACCTTCCTGTATATCTAGCAGCCTTGTTCCTTCCAATGTCTTCAAAGCCTCTATCAATTCCAGCTTCTCCTAGAGGTATTTCATTCTTTGCAACAATTTTCTTCTTTGGACCTTACCCTTTTGTTTACTCCTTTTTTCCCTACTAGATCTCAACTCTTCATCAACCTCTGAGTCATCTTCTGCAGGAATACCATCTCTTTGTGAGTCGGAGCTATTTTCCAGATCTGTTTCAGCCCCATCCACATTTTTCTCAGCATGTTGACTACTATCATCAACTACACAACATCAACCCTTTCCTTTTCTTCAGTTAATCCTTCATCCACCTCTATATTAATATTTTCTAAGTTTTCATTCTCACCACCTAGGTCTTTCTCAGCAGTAGTTTGAGTGTTAATATCACCATCATTTATTGCCCTAGCACCATCCGAAACATTATCTGTCTCACCTACTTCTGGCCCAGTTAGTAAAGTTGTCTGGCCCACAGTTTCAACCACCTCTGGCTCATTAACCACATGCAGCACATACAAATCCAAAAAATCACAATGTACTAGGTCTTTTACAATGTCTAACAGATGAGAATCAGATTCAACCTTGAAAGAGTCATCACTTTTTGAGGTTCTATAATAAAATACTTCAATAGTGGGGTACCCTAACTTTTTAGTATGATACAGCAGTTCCATCATCGAAAAATGACATTTATCAATAGGAAAAACTGCTTCGAGTTCCTTTTCCCCGACATATGCTAGGCCCCCATCATTGATAAATGCACCACCATAGTGAAAGCGTGTTATAATATAATCATCCATAAGATTCCCTCAAAGAAAACCCCAAAAATATATCACCAAAAGCTGAGAGAATATTTCGAAGGAAAACCCCAAAAAAATCCTAACTTTATAGAGAATTTCAAAAACCCTAAAATTGATCAATGCATGCTACATTAAGGGCAAAATAATACTTCTTGAGTCATAGACGGTCTAATAACATTAGTCATTGACAGTCTTCCCAAAAAACCAACTTGAATCTTCAAATCGTAATTGATAACTTCCGCAAATTAACCGTAAATAACTATACAACCCACATCATGCGAAACAAGAGATGATTTCGGTGATAAATCGAAGAGAATAAACTAGAAATACACTAAGAATCGAAGGTAATTGATGGAAATTTTGTCGGAATTTTCCGGACCTCTAATCGTCATTCTTCAATTGGGGTTAACGGGGAGAGAGAACGGGTGCCTACTTAGTAATGAACGGGTCTTTTAATTTTGTCCCTACTTAGAAATCTGATGTGGCATATTAAAACAGTTGGCGTCTTTTAATTAGTTAGCTTTCCACGTCAGTTGCGCTTAAAAAATACGCGCTTCACTTAATATAATACCTGGCCAAGTAGTCAACTAGTTGTGCCTAATTGGTATGGTTATGAACATAGTATTGTGTTCAATTGGAACAAAGCTAAGTTCAAGCGTCTAAATGGGATTTTCTGGCAACTTTAAAGATCTGTATATGTATTTGGCCTAGTCTAATACTTGACGGAAACTAACGGGTTTATCTTCTAATAAGATTTATTTTGGGGTCTTTTTCGTCCATCATTCCCAAATAGCCACATCATATTTCCATTTTCTTTCAATGCAATCATATCCAAGTTAAAAAGCAATTAAATTCAAGTTCGAACCAGCGCACCATCGTTGTCACTTACAACATAGAAATTGAAAAAAAGTAATTACTCTTTCTTCAATGTTAAGCAAAACAAATCACTATTTTTCCTCAAAAATAAAAGAAATGTTATAAGCTATATCACTATATACTCGAAGGTCGCATAAAAATTGTTACTCATGAATCTCACATAATCCTTGATATGTCATTGTCATGAGACATATGCGTCCTGAAATAGAAGTTTGCCTTCAATCTTATAGTCTTGATTGTAATTAATTCCAAAATTATAATTCTGAAATATCTCGATTCTGAACCACGCGCAGCTACCATGACAAAGGTCCGATACGTTGTTGTATTTCTGCAGATATTTCTCTTTCTAACAAAATAATTACTAGTACACCTACTGTGATTCCTAATAAATAGGGAGTAAGGTTGTAATATTAGGAACAAAAATAAGGGAAACTATCAGTTATGTCTGCTCATAAGCAAATCAGGATAAAAATTGGTCAATTCATAAAATATTACCAATAATGGCCAAATGTTACCAATATTAATTAGTCAATTAGCTATTTGTAGCAAAAAAAGTCAAATTTTTGCTTTCTTTTGAGTGGATGTTGTTGGAATAGATTGGGTACATTTGAACCTCGATTTTGGAATGATTTGATGGAGTTTTGAGGTGATTTGAATTGAAAATTCAAAGTAGAAGACGAACATGGAAAAGGATGATATGTGTATCACATGTATATCCATATATACTTGTGTGTGAGATATATGTGTGATATATTGATCACGCTCAACTATGCCTTATAAAAAGGACTAAGCGGTCGTTGCAAATATAATCCGGCTACAAGTCCGGAGTCGAATCCCACAGAGAACTAAGGCTTAGCTACAACTGTTCAATATCACCAAGAAGATAAGCTTGAATAATTTCCAACTAATAGATATTAAGATTCTTGTGTTTAACTAATTAACTAACAAATTAAAATAGTAATATAACAACTAAAGATACAAAGGGTTAGAGACAAGATTAAGAAGGTCTAGAGTTATGATTTCCCCTATTGTCGGAATCCTTCCCGCTACGTTTTCTATGAAGTCGCCTAAGTATTCTCTACCGATCATGAGAGCTTTGAGTGTTGTAATTCTCTCCCAAGTAACTACCACAATTTACTAATCTCCCGAATTACGCTAGCTGGCATTAAGTACGGCTCACTCGGATCGCACCAAGGTTTCGTTATCCCTAATCCCACCTTTAAACCCTCCGTATTGATCCCTCATATACGTTAGGAGTGATATTGTTCAACAACTACCTAAATATGCAATCTCTCCCGAGTAATACACACTAAATAGGCACAGTCGATTGAGAGCTCTTCAACTAACCACAATAATAACGTAGTTGAACGAATAGAGAAAATACTACGGTAAAACTATATTAACGTACAGGAAAATCATCCTCCAATAGGTTCCATCAAAACCCTAGATAACAAATTAGCTATTCATAATAGTATGCATAACTACAATACTAGAATTCATAACCAATAAAGAAAATAGGAAGAAGGAAGTGAAAAACTCATAGAAGAATTCTCCACCTTGCTCCTAGTGTGTTCTTGCCTCCTTAGGTCGAATCTCCGGTCTCCTTAGTCTCCTTAGGTCTAAAGTGTCCAAACTCGATCTCCCCTCAAAAGTGACGTTTTTAGGTCTATTTATATGTGTAGGACAAGACCTAAATGTGTAGGTCAAATCCTAGTCAAGCCGGGAAACAAATTAAGTCTTCAAAACTCGGACTGGACCTGGCCTTTGGCTGGCCTCGCCAGGCTAAAGCCTGGTTTAGTCTGGCCTTTGGCTGGCTTTTGCCTGGCCTTTCCTTTCACCGTTCTTGAGCACAGTTTCAACGTGTATCCCTTTTGCTCTACTTTCATCTCCAATTTACCTACACATAAAATAGACTCCATTACGCGCAAATAAAGTGTAATTCATCATTAAAAGCATATATAGTGCAAGGCAAATAATGTACGAAACTATAGAATTATAGCCACACATCATATATGTTTGATACATGTGTAGCAGAAGAATTTTTTAAACTCGATTTTAACTACAAATTTTGATACCATACCAATCCAAATCACCTCAAATCTTGCTCAAATTTTGTATATTGCATATTTGCCTAATTTTTTTTAATATTGTATATCAATAGTAATGAATTTTGACTCCAAATCCAAACTAGTGTAACTTACTTTCAAACTTCGTTAAATTTTGTATTGTCTCATTTTGTTTTAATGAATCACAACAATACTCATTAAATATATATTTTTTGCCTTTATTTTTTAATGTTATATATTATTGATAATTTTTTTGGCTATTTTTGATAGCATGACTAAAATGGCTAGTTATTAATAAATAGTGTCTTTTTGTGATACATTCTCATAAGATTCCCAAAAATAACAATGAAAAAGTTGACATGGGAATGTGCAACTAAAAAATGTAGAATTTAGGCTTAATAAAGGAATCTAAAACCTTTGTTCATTTCCTAATGGCCAATTGTGTTCAATGAAGCGAAGACCTAGTCGTTGTTGCGTTGTAGTTATTTTTTACATGCCTAAAAATTAAGCACTAAATTTAACAATGTAATAAGAGTTTAAGTTGTAGTGTTATACTCATGGGCTACAATCAAACTCTACCAGCAAGAGATTCAATGGGATGGACAGGATCTCTCTACCTTTAGCCGGATGTCTCAGGTTCGAACCCCGAGAGAAGAAATAGGAGCCGCTTCTCCTTAAGTGGACCATATACATTGCAAAACTGTATTAGTTGGTCTCAGTGGCGGAGGCAGAATCTCTGCGAAGGGGGTTTAAAAAAAAAATTTGTAGCTAGTGGGAATTGAACCTATGACCTTATGATGGTTTTGAACCCCCTTACCACTAAACTACACTTTTGGGTTGTGTTAAGGGGGTTCAAAACTTAATATATAGAGATAAAAATCAGATTTTTCCTTATATATACAGTGTAATTTTTCAGCGAAGGGGGTTCGGGTGAACCCCCTTGCGCCCCCTAAATCCGCCCCTGGTTGGTCTGGTGGGTTCCGGATACAGATTATACCAAAAGAAACACATAAATTTCATACAACAACAACAACAAATCCAATATATTCCTACAGGTGGGGTCTGGGGAGGGTAGCGTGTACGCAAACCATACCCCTACCTAGTGAAGGTAGAGATACTGTTTCCAATAGACCTTCGGCTCAGAAAGGGAAAACACATAAAGTCTATGATAAGCAAGAAATTGTTAACATGAGATAATCACACATTAAACTTCATAAATATTTTTACGTTGTTAGTGTATATATAAAACTACAATCCTTATATTAGGAAAAATTAACATGCTATATACGCCTATATATGGTGCCGGCTCCCTTAAATGGTGCTTCTATTGGCTGCTATTTTAGCCGGCTCATGCAGTATATTCTCATAATAAACTAATTAACAAACATACAAAAGGATCAAAAAATGGATCAGTTGAACACTTCAAACTTCAGTTCAAAACCATTTTTAAACTTCTCTATATAAATGGTTTAATACTTGCTCTTTTCTGTTATAAGTGAGATCCTCTCTTGCTTTAGTTGCTATTTGGTTCAAGAATATTAGTATTAAGAAGATGAAGATAGTGACATTATTATTGGTGTTGTTGTGTTACTTTTGTAATCAAGATTTTGTATCAGCTCAACTTAAAGTTGGTTTCTATAGTTCTAGTTGTCCAAAGGCTGAAAGTATTGTGAAAAGTGTAGTGCAGGAGAAGTTCAAAAATGACCAGTCCATTACAGGAGCTTTACTTCGCTTACATTTTCATGACTGTGGTGTTAGAGTAAGAATCTTGAATTTGTTTCTCTTTGGATGTATAATTTTGCAGGTTAATTATATTTAGTAGATTGATCATATATCCAATAAAATTTAAGCTATATAAGCTCATTTTAACCTATAGTATAGTAGGTTAATTATATTTTTATCGTATTATGAATTAACGCTTGTCATAGAGAATTATCTTTAATTACCATATAAGTGACACGATCGTGTAAATATATTGTATATTGTCAGCGTATATAGAACTTGATTTTAACGTATATACTATGATTGTGCAAAGAGTTACTACACTATTTGTTATCAACTTTTAGCTAACTCCTAGAGTATTAGTTATCTAGTGGAGCCACATAATAGTATAAAAAATAGGAACCAAAACTATTTTTATGAAGCATTTAGCTTTTCTTATTTAAGGGGAGCCTTGGCGTAACTGGTAAAATTATTGTCATATGATCAGGAGCTCACGGGTTCAAGTCATGGAAATAGCCTCTTACAGAAATGTAGGTAAGGCTGCGTCCGGGGCTTCCTCGAACCCCGCGCATAGCAGGAGCTTAGTGCAACGAGTTGTCCCTTTAGCTTTTCTTACTATTCTTACTATGTGTTCATTGCAAACTATTAGCTTGAATTCTTTTTGTTAGTAATCTTTTCCTAATTGTTTCAGGGTTGTGACGCATCGATACTGATAGATTCAGATCCAACCAACAATCAAACCTCAGAGAAAGATTCTAATCCAAACTTCACAGTACGAGGTTATGAAGTAATTGATGAAATTAAGGAAAAATTAGAAGCTAATTGTCCTTCAACAGTTTCATGTGCGGACATCATAACACTAGCTACTCGCGACACAGTTGCCTTAGCCGGAGGACCAAAATACACTATTCCAACGGGCAGGCGCGACGGCCTTGTGTCGAACGCCTCAGAAGTGGACTTACCCGGCCCGAATCGTTCAGTGCCAGAAATTTTAGCATTCTTCAAAACCCTAGGCCTAAACAAAAATGACATGGTGACATTATTAGGAGCTCATACAGTTGGAGTTGCACATTGTTTCTTTTTTCAGTCTCGGGTTTCGAATTTTCGAGGTACAAGGAAACCTGATCCCATAATGGATCCTGAATTGGTTACAAAACTTTTCAAACTTTGTAACACGTCTACCCCACCAACAACATTGGATGATGTTCCAACAACATTTTTGGATCAAAATACATCTTTTGTAGTTGACAATCAATTTTATAAGCAAATCTTGTTGAAGAAAGGGGTTTTGAAGATTGATCAAGAACTTGCTTTGGATAAGTTAAGTGCACCAATTGTTTCAAAATTTGCAACCAATGGAAATGCCTTTAGACAGAGTTTTGCTAAGGCTATGGTCAAGATGGGAAGTATTAATGTACTAGTAGGGGATGATGGAGAAATTAGAAAAAATTGCAGGGTCTTCAATAAATAATCCTAATTAAAATGTTGTAAGTGTTATATTGTTGGAGTTATTAAATCAATACTATGTTCTTATTATGTATTATCTGATATTTATTCAACGCCAGTTTGAATTAACTAGACTTTTGTGGGCTAGGAGATTTGGAAGAAAGGAAATGAGAGTTAAAAATATTGGTTTCTCTAATTTCATTCATCTTTTTAATTTTATGACAAGGTAACCTAATGTATTAAGCTCCAACTATATGGTCATATTGCAATAGCTCTTTTTAACAGCCCAGCCCGCTAGTGATATTATCCGCTTTGGGCCTAGGCCTTCACGGGTTTAAAACGCGTGAAGTTCTCCCTTCGTAAACTGTCGTGACAGCACCTAGTCTCAACGACTAGGTAAGCCTAACAATTTGCGGAAAATGAAATAAAGATGCGAAAACTAACAATTAACAGGTATTATGATAAAGGAGTTTAAAATGCCGTTTGGCATATACAATAACAACACTCTCAAACTGAACATAACACTCCCAAAACCCGGAATCTCATGAATCACAAGCTAAAGAAATACATAGTGTTCTAACTCCAGAAGTCTAAAAGGAAGAAAATACAAAAAGTCTATAACTGAAGGGAGAATAGAGAGAGACTTCTAGGTCTGCGGACGCGGCAGATATACCTCGAAGTCTCTGGATCGCCTCGCCTCAGGGATAGTATGGCTGAGCAGAAGAACCTGGATCTGCACACGAAAACATGTGCGGGAAAGGGCATGAGTACACCACGGCGGTACCCAGTAAGTGCCAAGCCTAACCTCGGTCGAGTAGTGACGAGATCAGGTCAGGGCCTTACTGGTTATATATATAGCAAGGTAAAACAGTATGAAATGCGACATTATAATTAAAATAGTAACAGTCAATAGAGATGAAATCACAGAAAGAAATAACTCAGTACACAGAGATAGCAACAGGGGATCTCCCAGGATAACGTCCCGTAGTCCCAAACATAAATGTATAGAGGATCTCCCGATACCATCCCGTAGTCCAAAGTGTAAATGTGCAGGGGGGATCTCCCGGGATACCGTCCCGTAGTCCCAAATATAAATGTGCAGGGGGGTCTCCCGGAATACCGTTCCGTAGTGCCAAAGTAAACAGACAGGGGGGATCTCCCGGGATACCGTTCCGTAGTCCCAAAGTAAATACGCAACCAAATCAATATACACAACAGTCTCAGCCAGAAAGTATACAGTTCTATTCAAGTTAGCATCAAAGAAACATGTAATTTCTACCCTAAACATGCTGCACGGAATCCAAGTAAACAGTTTAAACAGATAAGACAGTTAAGGCACGTAGGCATGCTTTCCTAAGCTAAGCAGGAGGATACATGAACTAGAAATTCTCAATTCAATGAAAGCATAGATATTTACTTAATGAAAACGGGGTTTTTCAACAATTCGCATGTGTACGCACTCGTCACCTCACGTACACGGCATTCACGTAACAACAGTACCAAAATCTTAATGGGAGTTTCCCCACACAAAGTTAAGCAAGCCACTTACCTCAAACCAAGCTCAAATCAATCTGAAATCACGCTCTTGCCACGAGTATCCAACTCCCCAAATCTAATCAAATCAATTTCATAACGTAAATATAACTACAAACAACTAATTTAGCTAATGAAATCGAAGCTAAGGCAAGCAAATAGAAAAATGCTCAAAATCCTCCCGGGACCCACGTCTCGGAATTGGGTAAAAGTCACAAATTATGAACACTCATTCACTCACGAGTCTAACCATACCAAAATCACTCAAATCCGATACCAAAATCTCGATCAAATTTCCAAAATTCGGCCTAAGAACTTTTCTAATTTTTTTCCAATTTTCACCCCAAATCCGAAATTAAATGATGAAATTAAGCTTAGATTAATGGGATATAATCAAAAAGGAGTTAGGAATCATAATCCACAAACTTCCTCCGAAAATCTCTACAAATTTCGCCTCCTACCGAGCCGTTAATCCAATTTTTGAGTTATGAACTCAAACCCTCATTTTTGGATTTTAAATTCTGCCCAGATGCGTCTTTCTTCGCGAACGCGATGAACAAAAATTCCACTGGCCCAAATTCCTCCTTCGCGAACGCAAGGGTCCTCTCGCGAACGCGCAGCTTCAGCTGCCAGGACCTTCGCGAACGCGTAGAGCAACTTCCTGAGGTCCCAGCTGCTCCGCCTTTCCTCTTCGCGAATGCGCTCAGCTCCTCGCTCGCGATGCTTCCGCTGGCCAACCTTCGCGGACGCGATCTCCCCTTCGCGAACGCGAAGAACAAATGTCTGCAACAGAAAAACCCAGCAAATCTGCTATCCTTCTAAGTCCAAAAATGACCCGTTGAGCATCCGAAATACACCCGAGGTCCCCGGGACCTCAACCAAACATACCAACCAAGTCTAAAACTCAACCAAACATACCAACTAATCCTAAAACACCATACGAACTTAGTCGAGCCCTCAAATCACATCAAACAACGCTAAAACCACGAATCACCCTCCAATCCAAACTTATTGAACTTGAAATTTTAAAATTCTACAACCGATGTCGAAACCAACCAAATCACGTCCGATTGACCTAAATTTTGCACACAAGTCATATTCAACACTACGGACCTATTCCAACTCCCGGAATCGGATTCCGACCCCGATATCAAAATTTCACTATCGGTCCGAAACTCCAAAAATTCAACTTTCGCCATTTCAAGCCTAAAAAGGCGACGGACCTCCAAAACATGATCCGGACACGCCCGAAATTACCCAACGGAGCTAACAAGATCGACGGAATTCCGTTCCGGAGCCGTCTTCACACTGTTCCGACTACGGTCTAAATTCTAAGTCTTAAGCTCACATGTAGGGACTAAGTGTCCCAAAACAATCCGAAACTCAAAATGAATCATCCCGGCAAATCACAATAGCAGAAATAGACACGGGGAAAGCAGTTAATAAAGGATCGGGGCGTAAATTCTCAAAACGACCGGCCGGATCGTTACACTCTTATTGTTACGCCGAGACTTCTTGTTCATTCTCCGACGTGGTATTTTTGTTTAAGACTACACAAATATATTGTCTAACATCCTCTAACAAAAGTATACCATTTTGTTAATATTCAATGTTGAAGTTGTCCTTAGTGCATGTTCAATGCTTGACAATTGTTTATCTATAAACCATATTTAACCCTTGCGGATAGCGAAATCGAAATTAATGTACATTTATACATATAAAAGAAGGAGACATTAAAAGAAAATGTTTGACAAACTTGAAGAAAGACCATCACCAATTATACAGAAAACTTGTGGAAAGAGCGAGTTACTTACATTGTTATGCCATCATCATTGTCCTTTTTATTTCACTTTTAGTACACATAACCTTTATTTAAGTTTGATTATATTCGTACAATTATCAAAGTATTATATGGATATCCAGTAAATTAAAAAAACGATAATAAAATTGTTAAAGCAAGTCTTGAACTAAAGATTTTTTGCCCCATTAAAACTAATAATTGATATATATTTAAACAGCATCAAAATCTAGTGTCTTATAATAGTTTAACTTTTTTCATTTGCCTTAACTGTCTTCTTTTTTACATTTTGCCTCTTCAATTTGAGGCTATAAGTAATATAAACAACTTAATATGGCAAAACAACTAAACATGAAACAAAGTTCAAGGGCAAAAGAGTCAACCATGGCAAACAGTTCCTAGTAAATTTCCTCAAAAGAACCTCTATAGTATCTTCTTTTTTTTCAAGTGAAGGTGCATGTATTAAATTTTATTCTCATCAAAGTGTCATTTATCTCCAACTATTATATTTGATATTATTTATATTATTAATAAGGGGTTTTGACACAGTTACCTACAAAAATAAAACTATTTACCCTTTTCTACCCATTTGTTTTCCTACCCATAAACTAATTACATTTCCTACCCATAGTAGATTTTGTGGGGAATTTTTTTTTATTCTCCAATTCTTTTTTATTTCTATGCTTCTTTTCTTTTCTTTTCTTTTTCTTTTCTCCTTTTTTTTCTCGTTTTCTTCTTCTTTTTTTCTTTTTTCCTTTTCTAATTTCATTTAACTTCCTTTTTTATATTCTTTTTTTCTTCATATTCTAATTTTATTTACTATTTTCACTATTTTTTGTTATTTTTTTTTAATATATTACTAAAGAAAAANATCTTAGATCAAAACACTATGTATGGATGGTATGAACTGCCTAAACAAGAATTCTTGAACAGCAAACAACCAGTTCAGATATTCACGACCAAGAAGTACTGGATTCTCTTTCGGATAGGCCCTTGAAAGGAGAAGGAAGGCTGGAATGCCAACAGCGTCTATTATATTGAATTTACCCCCGATAGTCCCCATTTTGGGAACGTCCAGTGCCAAAGTCACTGAATGGGTAAGTCGCCAATCCCTGGAAAAGCAAGTGAATTTACGGGTAATAAGTATACTATTATAGTATATTGTATACTATTACAGCATATTGCTACAGTATCTTGCATAATATTACAGTATACTATAACAATATATTGTATACTATAATAGTATACTGTTGCAGTATAACTATATACTCCTATAGTATATTAATATACTGTAGCGGTATACTGTTTTGTAAACTATAATAGTATAGTATTGCAGTATAGCTATATACTCCTACAACATATTGTATACCGTAGCGGTATATTGTAGCTGTGTTCTTCTTCGATTTTCAACTGAAAATTTCGATCTCAATCACCTCAAATCAGCTCCAAACGCTATCAAAATTCATCATGAACTTCCAGAAGATACTATAAGCAATATTTAACAGCACCCACTTTGAATCAAACAAGAAATCTTCAAAACTAAAATTGAGCTTCAAGCCCAACAATGGTGGATATTCAAATACACAAAAATCTAGATCTAGGAAACCAGAAAAACTCAAACTTTCTCTTCTAGCTAAGGATTCTTTCACCCCTCTCTCCATTTCCTGCTCGCAACGCTCGTACTACAAACAAGT